TTCATGCACAGGTATAGGCAACGTTCCTTCATTAAAGGAACATATAGTTATTCTACCAATAATGCCAATGGTATTAGTATCGACAACAATATTAACACGTAAAATGTATTGTGTTTTTTTAGCACTTCAGGCAGAGATGCATGCAGTGACTGTTAAAAAAATGCTACAAACACAGCGCTGGGGTACCAGATAAATGCAAGTTATATGATCGGTTTCGACGGGGTATTTCGAGCACTTCAGTAGAAAAGTCGATCGCGGTGATGACTGAGACATCGGCCATAGCCAACTAGTGGCGTGTATGGCATTCACAGACAGATCACACGTGTGTGGTACACCCGCCACGCGCCAGCGCATGCTTCTTGGATGTCCGCGTGATCCATTGACTATGGTATCTAAGGGCCGTTTGTCAACAGTTTTTCGGCGAGATTTTAAAATATGTTAGAGGTTAGTATTTTCTGATATATATTAGACAGAGACTTTCGCTCAATAAGATAGCACTTTAAGGGAGGGAAATTCAGTAAGATAGAGAAAAGGTTTTCAGAGAGAATTCTAGGGAGCGGTCTTACAGATAGTGCGACTCCACCACTTATAAATATGTTCGAAGCCTTCGGTCCTTGTATGATCCGTTGAGGGGAAGACCAGAGGCAGCACGATAAGGCGTCTGATCAGTACGAGAAATGACCGCGGAGAAAAGACAGGCATCAAATATCGAGGATCCTGGTGACGCAGCACTCAATCGACGCCCACGGAGGCTGCATGTCTTAGAACCGCCGTGTCCTCCAGAAAAGCGGGGCAGGTATTCATTACCTTTGCTAACGACAGTCAGCTTCTTTCAAGCGCCAAACTAGTCTCCAGTGTCTTCTTAGCTCTACGCCGGCCGCATCCGCAGTATGTACATTTTGCTTATTAAGACCCACCTGAACGCATATACATCCCATAGTTGACGCAATGATAGTTCGACCATCGACTTCGATTATGTCCACCGTGTGCCCCAGAGCAGCAGCGGTGACAGCAGGGACAGTGGCTTGCGCAGGGGTTTATAGTGCCAGTAGACTTGCGCTGCATCTACCTACACTCTCTCCTCCTCCCCCGTATGAGTCCGGTGTCAAGACAGAGACATGAAAACCGGAGACGAGGAGGCTGCAGGTGGATGACTCGGACGGATTCTCGCCTTGGCGCTCCACTCCACACCCTCTGGTCCAAACAACAAATAACCAGGATTTTTACCGCCACAACAATGGAGGGAGTGGCAGTGATTCCATTTGTGTGACGGCTATCGACAATAGGAACTGCTAGCGCACCCCCGAGATGTTGGCATTTGCTATTGCGCACAGATAGCACCTGCCATAATCCGATGTGGCTCACGTGTTGGTCCAGCGCATCTCACACGTGGCTCGTTTGGATGGCACTGTTGATGCAATACTCGTAGTGTCATTGGCTTTCGGCGTCGACATATTACTCTCCAGGTCAACGGTCCTTTCCCCTGCAAATATTGCACCAGATACGACAAAATGATGGACATCTTCACCTGCGTGCACTTCGCCGGCTCGTTAGCTTGTCGTCCAGTTCTTCGACGTGCTTTGCTAGACTGAGGTCTATAAAAAGACTTACTTCACTAATTATTTCATTAGGATTATATGAGGTCAATCATATTACCCCGTTTTCCCCTTCCCGGCTGTAATAGTTATATTAGTTTATATTAAAATGGAAACTGACGCCATCCTTTGCTTACCTCTCGTATTTATCCTCCTTATCCAACAAAACCTTAGCATTATACGCCTGCCTCATCTGTGATGCTTTGCAATTTGCGTTATCGATTTCGTTGACTGCTCTCAGATTCTTCTCCTTGACTTCCATCACTTTTTGCACACCACGCCGAATGACCTTGACTACGCTCAGTTAATTGTGATTGGCTGTTTGTCTTTCTTCTGCTTTTTCATGTTCTTCACGCTCGCATCGCCCTCTCCGCAAATTGTTCTACATACACTTTCATAGTTTCATCATTTGCACTTCAGTCTCAGCTCCATTAAAGTTTCTCCATTCACCAAAAACTCTTTTTTATATCTTACCACTTTATATCCTCCCCTTTGGCATGTCTAAATGTTCTACCCGTAAAACTCCCCTTACCACCATTTCCGTATTACAAATAATGGGGGGTTTACCCATTTCCAGTGCGGCTGCAGGAGCAAACCCCACCGGATTTCGAAACCAACTCTCGGCCGTATTTTGCGATGCTGTTATTGGAAATGTTACATTTCAAGATTAGTCCAGGTTATCGAAGAAAATGATCCGGACCCTAGCGTAGAGTATTGCGAACGACATTTAGCATTATGTGTAGACGATGAACGGTTTCCCATTAAACTGTGTGGCCAAAGTGACCGTTGTATTCCCATCTGGTGGGGATCCTACCAAATAACATGTCGTGGAGAACATCATGTTAACTCACCAGGGTTTGTGGTGTGCAAACTGTGTCATGACTTGGCATGAAGAGGAGCAATTAAACCATTTTCTTCTGATGCTACTGCGACTGGTCGTATTTACCTGAAATCTCCGTGCCTGTCTACCATGCCAGATATTAGGTAGTTTTTCGAAGATGAAGAGTTTTATTTTCAGCAAGCCCACAAAATCATCGTGACGCGAGATCATAGCCTGATATTACAGTAAATGAAATGTCAACCAAAATTTCGAAATGCGTTCTCCTTTCGAAGAGATATATTAAGTAGTGTTGTAAAACTAATCATCATACAGCATAAATCTATAATGATCCAGTTACCTCAGGGTGTCGGCTTTCAAAAGAACTTATTTTCGGCTGCATGCAAGATCTATACTCTGCAAAAAAGGACTACTTAAGTAGCATGCAATTTTCTCATTGATTTTTGATGCCCTAGAAAATGCAATTATATTTCATGGAAAACATGCATAAAAATATTCATTCTTTTACTTGTTCGGCTGAAAATCAGGTTTTCTTCCAATTTCATACTCAAAGGAAACGTATAATTCGGTTTTAAAATACTTTTCTAATTCCCGAATAATTTTGAACCCGACTTACTATTACACTTGCATTCAGGGTTTCAAAACTACAAGCTGTATATTTTCCATGTACGGAAAACCATACATTTCTCTACGGTTTTAAGAGGAGACCATATGAGGTTCATAAATTTAAGCAGTGGATTTGAGCAATATTGTTAACTTTACAAACCACATTCGTAACTGCAGATGCATGGCGTTTCATGAAGGGCCATTTAACGGTATTGAAAAATCTCACAATAAGAAACTTTTTTAAAACTGATTTACACTCTTCTTTTGAGTATGAAATTTGAAGGAGACGTGATTTTCTACCGAATAAGTAAAAGAATGAATATTTTTATGCATGTTTTCCATGAAATATAATTGAATTTTCAAGGGCATCGAACATCAATGAGAAAATTGCATGCTGCACAAGTAGTCATTTTTTGCAGAGTATAGATCTTGCATGCAGCCGAAAATATGTTCTTTCGAAAGCAGACACCCTGAGGTAACTGGATCATTATAGATTTATGCTGCATCATCATTAGTTTTACAACACTACTTAATATATCTCTTCGAAAGGAGAACGCATTTCGAAATTTCGGTAGACATTTCATGCGTTAGCTCATCTACTGTATCTTGCCAAGCAGCCGGGATGGACGACAGGGGTTTCATAGAATATCCTCCTCGTTGTTCAAACTCCACTTCTGCAGGCTGTTGATGGGAATTCCTCAAAGATGACTTTCGCTGAGGAAAAACCGGCTGAAATCGCCGAATTGAGAATCACCATTGAACAAGTATTTGTTAACAATTAAAGGACTTTGGTTGGACACGGTGATTTGGATTGCCCACTTACAACTGTCCTAGCCAAAAGTCTAGGGTGTTAGAATTAGGGGTACTATTGGGGTTTGAGGGGTTAAAATAAGGGCTAAAGTCGGGAAAAATAAATAGGAACCCCTGGAATTTAGCACTAGGCCACGTAGGGTACCGAGGAGGTGGGTCGATATTCCTGTGTCTGACTACGAAATATTTCTGGATGTCTGTGATTCCGCTGCTTTACGTTATCTATAAAGCCTGGACCAGAGCAAACAAGGTAATTAAACTATTTACGTAAGTTCCATCACAATTTGAACGAAGGATGCATTTTAGTAAACACTGTGCAAGTTATAAAAGGGTGTATACCTTTTTGGGATAACTTGTAAATAACGACTGCTTTGCCTTCGGGTCAGCAGTTTTACGACGCTATCTATTTTGTCAAAGTAATACCTTAAAATGAACTATAGGTTTCCACGCAGCTCACTCATATAATGTGGCTTTGGGCAGACTACCCCTAATGCAGACGAACTGAGGTATGCCGCTCCTCACTTGAGAAAAAAATGATTTCAGTTTAGTTCTGTAAACCGCAAATCCCTAGATTCGTAAAAAGATCTGCAAATGCGCGCATTCGCGGACATGCAGCTTAGTGGTAAAAAGTCATGTCGGAACCGTAACTTTCTGAAGTGGGCATGGGCTTTATCGCATAAACATAGCCTGGCCAGCGACATTTTGGTTTCGAACTGAAGTATAAAAAAGCGACGAGATGAAGGAGTTGTAAGACCCCCAACCTTTTCACCCTCGTATCACGACCGTTTTTTCACTGTATGTCGAAGATTTCGTCAAAGCAGTCGCCGAGGAATTGTGATTTTACTACAGTCACACCGCTCTGGCGTGTCGGCTACCAGCCATGGACTGCATGACTGTTTGTAAAGTGCGACTCGCCTCGATTGTCATTAAAACTCTCAGTGGTCTCTCACCGTTTATCGCTTTATTGGTCATTACAACCTTTCTGTCCAAGGTGTTTTCTGTAAGAGTGAGCCAAATGTTAAAGTGGGAGATTATTGGTCGGCGTAGGTCGAATAAAGGTCATTTATAGATCGACGGTAATACGAGACAATCCGCCTGCTTCCTCATGGAGACGAATTAGCCACCATCGTCAGCGTCTACTCCCCGCCCCGATGATCAGTTCTGACGCGCACGTCCTCCTTGCGACTGTTCCGAAGGCGGATAATTTGACTGTCCTTGGTGACCCCAACGTCTGCGTCGACACAGACCATGCTGCCTGGAGAGGATTGCTGGGTCCCCATGGTGTCGACGGCTTCAATGCCAATGGCCTGCTCCTCCTGCTAACCGGCGCAGAACATTGCCTCATCCTGACTAGCTCCTTATTCCGCCTTCCGACGCGAAAGTGGGCGACCTGGGTGCACCTTCAGTCGCGGCATTGGTACCTGCTGGACTATGTCCTCGTCCGGAGGCAAGACCAGCGGGACGAACTGGTGACAAAGGCGATCCCGGGTGCCGACGAGTGGACCGATCATCGCCTACAGCCAGGCAGGAGGCCTCAGGGTAAACGACCGTCAGGGAAGTCAAATACACGCAGAGGAGCATGGATCTCTTCGACGCATCCTACGACAATTTCGACCTGATCACCAACACAGAGAAAGCGGTGGTTATGCACCAGCCGCCACCCAACGCAGAGTAGACTGCCCTTCAAATCAACGTCAACGGCGTTCAACTTCAGGCCGTCGACATCTTCACCAATCCGAGCAGCAGGGTCTCTCGCAGCACCAAAATCGCCAACCAGGTGGCCTACCGGGTCTCCATATCTAGCCAAGCTCTCGGTCGCCTGCAGAACACCGTTTGGAGTCGTCACAGTCTCCACTTCAGCACCAAACCCAAGATGTACAAAACAGTCATATTGCCGACGCCACTGTATGGATAGGATACTTGGACGGTGAACAACATGCAGACGCGGAAGCTCAACCATATCCACTTCAGCTGTCTTCGACGGATACTGTAACTGAGGTAGCAGGACAGGATCCCAGAGACAGATATACTGCAGCGGACGGGGTTCCTCAGGGATCCCGACATGCCGAAACAACTGCAACTGTTCTGGAGCGGCCACCACGCGAGTATAGACGACAGCGACTACCCAAAAGACTATTCTGCAGAGATGTCGCCCCGGGCTTTCATTGACAAGGAAGTTAAATCCGGTTCTATAAGTGCACTCTGAAGGCTTCCTTGAAGCGCCTGGAGATCAACCCGGCCAACTGGAAAGACTCCGCCCGGGAGCGATCGGTCTGGAGGAAAATAATGAAGAGAGGCGCAGCAATCAACAAAGCCAATCGGGAAGCCCAAAAATCCCAACTTCCCCCGCCTCACTGCGTCAGCACTTAACCGCTCCCAACATGCCCACAGTGGCTGCGAATATTTCAGTCACTAATCGATCTTATGGGACATTTACGGACCAACTGCAGCGTCCGGATGTCACCAGTTAAGGTCTTCCCGCCCCTGTCTGTCCCGCTTCCCAAGCTGATAAACAACCCTAGCGGTGCTCTCATTTCCCCCTCACTATCCTCCACCATCATCTCCACCCCAGCATCTGTTGCGAGGGCTTCTGTCCCACCACAACTGCACACAATCCTGGCGCACCGTCAATGTCAGTAATGTAAAGTCTGTCCAAACCCGTCCACACTGCGATCTCACCTTCACCTCACACATCGGCTTGGTCGGTCACTTGCGAATCCGTCGCACATAAACTGGCGAACCAGTATCTGGATCACCCATTTACACTCGTCGCACCCGCGTTCACTGTCCACACTGCTTGCGCACATTCATTTACCGCGTGGGTCTACTAGGCCACATGCTCTTTCTTGAAAACTTGCGGTAGACCACCTCCGGCTACACTACACCTTCACACATTTCTCCACCAGCGCCTACGAAGCACCAACAACAACAACCCCCACCACACAACGCAAGCACGCTCAAATAAGTGGGAAGTGTGCTTTTGAGCTGGTGTTCCATGTGGCTCCTCTAATGCATGAGCGATCTTAGTCTGAGACTATCACTCTGTACAAACCGGTAGTCCGAGAATTCGGCTGCAAGGGCTCCTTTTTAATATGGTCTTTATAGCACTCCCACCTCGTGGGATCGAAGTTGCGCGTGGCGTCACGCCTAGGGGCGGCTCCGGCCGCGCCAGCCATCTGCACTCTCCCCCAACTCCGATCTTCTTAACTGTCTTAGCCCCGGGTCCAGGTGGGGGAGGAGGGGGAAGTGCGGTAGATTCTGCGTAAGTCTACTTTCGCTATAAATTAATTTACGCGCACGTTACCGTGCCTGCTTCTACCCTGCTATGGAGCACATTGTAGACATTGTCTGTCACGACGATCGAACTGTTGGTTCTTGCAACAGCGGCTTAAAATGGGCGCGGTGCTTTCAGGTGTGAGCGGATGTACTCTCGTTTGCCCTATCTGAGAGGATAGTGGGTTTCGGGAAGACAGATGATGCGAGAAACAGTTCTGCTCCTATATACGTCCATCACCTTTTTGAGTGTTCTTGAAAGTTGAACACACCTTAAGTATTATAACCGGACACCCGAGCTATACGTTCCATTAGATTTGAGCTTCTAATCTTTCTATCAATTTATGTCCTATTTCCGAGGTCCTAAAACATCGTTTGGAAGACCGATAATATTGGAAGGGGGACAATAACAACATTACAAGCAAGTATTAATCCCTTGATTCCATAAACAGAACATGGGCTCAGGGTCCGCCCGCAATACAGGTGACTTTGCGCCAAATTCAAGGGAAATCAGGATTAGAGCTAATTTTAGGGTTAGGTTTGAACCTAGAGTTACGGTAAGCCAGGGTTAAGTTTAGGGTTAGGTTTAGTACTTACGGCGGTGTTAGAGTACAGGGTATGGTTAGGGTTCAGATTTAAGGCACGTTTTAGTTGTATGTTAGGATTAGTGTTAGGCTTAGGGCACCGAAATATTAATCCTTCATGGACATGTGCGCAGAGCCACCTTTATTATTTTGGCGAGGCGTTTCTTCTGCCTCATCTTGCTTACGGAGCCATATGGGGCGTCTTTATCAACTTTTTCCCCTTATCTAGCGAATGGGAATTTTTCTGGAATATTAGAACGAGTACGCCACAATACTGCACTTCAAAACACTGTCAATACCAGGCATACATCTACGCCCTCTTTGGGGTTGAATTATCAGACCCCGGTTAATTATAGGCCGAAAACGCAAAGGTCACCGCAAAGGGGGCGCCAATAAAAGCCACGACATGGTCGTATAGTCTCTGCTACGGACACAGCTGATCACACAGGCAACTGAACTCCGTCTAAACAGGACCAAATCACGCCGTCACATCTACCTATCCGCTGTCTCTGTGATGGATAAAACGCACGAGGCAGCGACTGTGAAGCCTGCATCTGCACACCGTGTGCCTCCTGCCCCTGTCAATCACAAACTTGCTTCTTACTACGCAGTAAGCGTAGACCGCAGTTATGGTTGCCGTAGACGGCGGCTTTATGCCCCTCCTCCTCCTCACTTCATCTCCAGCACACTTAACTCGGAATCAACAATGACAGAGAGAAGGAGAAGAACGTGTACGTCGTCCCTACTCGTGACTGAGGGTCAGGCTGTAATATACTCTCCGTAATGTGGCTTTTTAAGTCCTCTACTTATGTGGGATTCGAGTACCCCACTGCTGCCTCTTTTTGTGGATTCAGGAGCGAGCACATGTGTGGTGCGCATAGACGCGGTATGTACAACATTAGTCGCCCATAATCCTTTCCCTGTTTTTTCATGGGGGATTATACATGTTTATGGAGAAACCGAGGAACACCCTGCGGAAGTCTGCCTCATCATAAACCAGTTAAGGCTCCCGTCGCTACTGCTGGTTCTAGCCGTCTGCAGTGAAGGAACTGTAATTATAGTCAAGTATTGGTAACGAGTCTTTTGTCTGGCAGGCTTGGACTGCATTAAGACTAGTGCTTTGGGAAAGCATAAAAAATAATCCGTCTGCACACTGCCTGGCGCAAAGGAAATTTCATTAATTATAATGCGGACAACCTAATTACAGTGAGTGGCCAATCTCATGAAATGTTGACCGAAATTCTGAAATGTGTTTTCGAATAGGAGCGGTTGCTTAGGTGGTGGTGTAGTATTGATTATCATGCGGCACGATATTTTGGACTCGGCAGGATGTCGGCTTTTGAATGAACTTCATTTCGACTTGTAGAACCGCACTTGGCAAAACACGACTACTTAAGTAGCACGCGTTTTTCACATTGACTTTCGGCGGTCTTGTAAATTTAAGCGTATTTTATAGAAAACATGCAAAAAAATATGCCTTATTTTACCCGTGTGGCAAAAAAATTACCTAAGTATATCTTTTATTCGGGTATTAAATGCGAAGACAGCGTGATTTTTACTAAAAACAAATCTAGGTCACCTAAACACGCGTAAACTTATTTATTCTCAGATGTTTTAGCAGATTTGAATCATTCATCTGCTCAAATTGTGGGTCAGACACGAATATGTTCTACCCCCTTCCCCTGACCTCTGTGTGTAAGGTCACTTTTACTACGGGGATGGCGCATCCGTGTTTGTTGGTGCATTTTAAAAATGAGCCTTGTCTGACCAGGTCAATGGTGGGATTCTAAAGGAATCGAGGACTTGCTGAGAATCTATTAATGTAATTTTTCCAAAGAATGACTATCTTAGGCTGTAGCTCAGGGGTGAACTACTTTTTTGTCATGTTGACTCATAACGTGGTATTTTTGGATTATGCTGTTAAAATTCTCAATACCTACAGAAAAAGTCAGATCACGACCCCTTGTCCGTCGTCTTCATCTGGAGCGCCTTCACATTGCCGAGTAACCGCAGGTTATAATTTCCTTTCTGTCAGAATTCCACAACAAATACTGGCAAAACTCACAAAACCTCTGTGAGACGTCTACTCAAAAACCCGTCTGAGGGGTGCCATCAAAAGGACTGCCTATGCTAACGTCTCTCTTCGCTTCATCATTCTGCCAAAGTAAGCCCGAAATTTGCTTTCATCCGCCAATCCGAGGTTCCCGACAAACTGTCTTACAGCGATGAAAGCTTAAAGTCCTACACCTGCTCTTGGGTGACGCGAACTACTCGTCAACACCGGAAATCCCCGAATTTTGGCGCCGCTCAACGCATGACGTTTGCCGCTGACACCCACGCTGCTGTGTGTCAACAAACGGACAACTACACTGTCTTTCAGAGTCCCGCGTCCCTCATCGACAGTCCTTAATCGTCGACCCACATCCCTATGGCAGGCATTTGTCTGATGCTCTCTATGCGATGTCAGCCATCACATCCAATTCCGTCGTCATTCTGTTGACAGGTCCGGGCAGGCCACTTGTACCTCAATGAAAGAAAACTCATTTCTCACTATACTGAATTCAATGCACATAGATGTGTTAAGATGGGCAAAAACGTTGAATTTAAGAGCTGCCAATGGACAGTGCAGTTCGGTACTATAAAGGATTAAGCTCCGGGCGCAAGCCCGTCTCATTATAGACAGATTTGCGCACAAGGCTCTAGAACGCCTCACAACAATCCGGATAGCTGTTACGATGGCGCTTTGAACGCCAATTTCGACGAAGTCCACCGAGTGCTCCATAGCAGGGTGAGAGCAGGGACGGTGACTTACGCGTGAATTATTTTATAATGATGGTAGGCTTGAACAGCATCTACCGCACTCGCTCTCTCTATCCGTCTGGGTCCGGTGTTAAAACATAGTCAAAAAGAGTTGGGGTGGGGATGGGCGTAGGTGGCTGGCGCGGC